TATATATATATATATATATATATATATATATATATATATGGAATCATGTGCTGGAATAATATATATACATATATGGTTGTAGGTTAGAGGCATAAAATACAAATACAATCCTCTAAAAACTCCATCTCTGGATAACATCGTCCCAAACTGGTTCTACAAGGTTCAATTTTTTTGTTCTTGTGCCTGCATGGCATTCTATGAATCTACTGTTATAATTCGCGAAGAGGGTATTGGTTCTCTGTTGATGTTCCTTTATGCAGATTATCCTCGTGAACTTCTCGAACATGAAGAAACATCAATACATTACACATCACGTGTCTCTATCTATATTCACATTCACATTCACATTCACATATGCATTCATATCAGCAGCTTACGATTGTGCTTAAAGAAGGAACCAAACGTCATGTACATATATATATATATATATACATATACAAACTTAACTTGGATCAACGTGAGACCAACCTATTTTCATGAGACCACTTTTTAACATTTGAAACTTTATAGTAAAATGTTGTGAAGGTAAAAAGAAGCAGAACCTTCACAACAACAATGGTGAAGTTTCAATTGTAAAAAAGTGGTCTCACGGGTATCAAAAAATAAGTTGATCTTACGTGAACCCAACCCTATATATATATTATATATGTATATGTAATCATCACGGGTTGCACAATAAAAACAAAAATGTCAATGTTCAATAACATGGTCGTCATGATTCACGAGCTACCACCTTTGCGTTTCAACTCTAAAAAGTGCTTACACATGCATGCCACTCTTTGAACATTGAAATTTTCCTATTTGGACAAACTAAGGGAAGTGTGTGCGTATATATATATATAGATATAGATATAGATATAAACGCACAAGCGTGTATATATATATACAGTCAAGTGCTTCATCAGCGTACTTAATAGTATCTAATTAGATAAACAAATATCTTGTTGCAGCAGAAGAATTAAACAAGTGTTGAAGTTGTTTACATCAATCATCATGTCGATTGAAGGTCTAGCAATGGCGGGAGTAGACTACAACGAGTGGGGTATGGATTTCGAAGAATGGGAGAGAATGGAGATGATGGGTCCACCTGCACCCCATTTGTATGCCGATGATGAATATGGAGATGATCATTACAAAGAAGATGAACATGAACTTGATTCTGGAATTGAATCCCCAAAAGCTGCCATGAAATCTTGGAAGCTGGATAAGTGCATGAAGCGATGGAAGTTGGTGGTGCTGCTGATAATGGTGATTAGATTTTTAAGAAGCATTTTCTATGAAAGAATGAATGCAGCCCAATGACAAAGTCTTAATCTTGCTGTCTTAATTTCATTTGTAAGACAGACATAACATCACGTGGGATTTTCAGACGCCTTATTTTTATCCACAATGTTCATAAATCTTGATTTTAGATTCATATATTTCTTTATTGCTTAATTTAATTACATTTTTCGATTATTTGTAAATCGTTGTGGTTAATTAATTTGCATATTGTTCGAGAGATTTGTTTGGTTTTAGTGAAGGAATATTCTTTATTGGTTGTATTTAATTCCATTCTTGTAAATTTAATTAATAAAACGTTTTGTTTAAATCACAATTATATTGTGTTTAGACGTTGTAGTTGACGGGTGTCGAGACCGGCAAATAATAAAGTTCAAACTAACGCACAATTTTACAACCAAAACTGTAAAAGTGGTAAGTCGGGTCGAATCCACAGGGACTCGGCTTTAACTCTTTAGGACTAGATAATCAAGTACAAAAATGAA